TACCTACCTACCTACCACCTGCCTACCTACCACCTGCCTACCTACCTACCTCCATCCATACATACATTACATGTTAGCTGTTTCGTGTAAATACATATTTAGTCACTCATCTGTTGCTCATGTTGACGATGCTTTCAACTATGTACTTCTCTGTTTAGTTTGCCCATGCATTGATATGGTCGTTAGTCCTGCTATTGTGGTCATTGCAATATTGCTACAAATTGAAAAATCAGTATTGCTACTACTGCTGTCGTTGCAGTACTGCTGAGAATTGTGAAGGCTAGGCCCAGTCTGTATGGTCGTCCAGCAGTCATTCAATGTCATTCCTCAGAAGACTTAGCCCGAATTCGAATCCTGCACCCCGGTGTGTGTGTGTGTGTGTGTGTGTCTGTGTCTGTGTGTGTGTGTGTTTCAATCAAATGATGACCTCCAAACCTATCTCCATTGTACAAAAACAACTCAGATGACATGTGCATAGCTGTCGACATAACAACCCGAAGTGGGAAGACAACAATCAAACAAGGTAGTAAAATATAACATAACCATAATGTCTGAGCCGTCACTTTGAACAGACCCACACACACACAAATTCTTTCGAGAAGGACAACGGTCAACCCAGATGTTCGGGGTCTGGGGTTTAGGATTCCCCTACAGCTGTGCAACTATGTGGAGGTGTTTGCCGGAAAACCCTAGAGCCTACACAGCCCAAGCAACATCGGTAAGCGGACCAGCACAGTCCTGCAACTGCTTCCCCACGCTGCGGATGTCACTGCTCACTTGCACCTTGAGCACAGCCGAGCATAACTTTAAGGATGTGCTTCCGACCACTTCCTTAAGTAAAGCCCTCAAGAACCAAACCTCCCCTAACCCCTAGACCCCAAACCCTAAACCCTAAACCCTAAACCCTAAACCTTAAACCCCAAACCCTAAACCCTAAACCCTAAACCTTAAACCCTAAACCCTAAACCCCAAACCCTAATTGTATGCCCACAGGCCGAGGCCAGAAGCCCTGTCCCGGGGCGCGGGCTCCTGGGATGGTGTGGCCTCAGGCGATGTAGGCAATGGTGTGTGTTGCGTGACATGATACCTGTATGTCTGTATATGTATACATGTACATATTTATTTTCTATGTATCTTATATTATCTTGTTCTATGATAATGTTGTACTATATTACATTATATATATATATATATATTCGATTAACTGTTATATATTCAGTTGATATAAGTACCCACATACATACACACACACACACACGAGCGGAAACACATGCACACACGCAGATGCGTACAATGATGAAACAGACAGTATGAATAAATACGTGTGTATATAGACAAGCAGATAAACAACAACAGATATGCAACTTGTCATGCAGGTATGTGTGGGTACTATACATTAAAATGTGTGTATACATATCTGGAGGTTATCTATGTTCTTATCCATATGCGCAAAGCTACATGCGTACATACGTACACACAGGCAGACATTATGCATAATCACATGTAGTGTAGACAGTATACTATGTGTGGCTCAATGATCGAAGTTTGGACTTAAAGGCTTGTGTTCGAACTTGGAGGCTGTAACTGATGTAACCTTGGTGCGGGATGTCAGGCGCTAGGGCTTTGGGCTTGGGTCCATGTGCAAATCTTTGAGCTGCAGTATGAGCCAAACCAGGACATAAGTACAAGCGTCTTACACGGACTTCCCGATGTCCCTGCTGCTCATCCTACTGCTTGCTTATGTAGTATTTTGAGGCTACAGTCAGCAGTATCGTCCATCGGAACCAACGGCTTAGAATCTCGCCGAAGCGCCCAACCCGAAATCTCAACCGAAGGTCCTGGGCACCGACCTGCAAAAAGCCAAGACTAAAACCCCAATAACCCTAGACCTCAACGTAACATGCAGCCTCCAGTCCCTACGCCCTACGCCGCAAACTGCCCGAAACCCTACCTAAACCACTGGCGTCAGAAATTGGGCTTAGGGTTTAGGCTGCAATATGCTGTAACAGTAAGGAACCCAAAATGTAGGGAGCTAAATAAATGGGTCGTTGCTGTACGGATCCCCCCTCCTATGCTAAACCACCAACCCTAAACTGTTCTAATTATCAGAAATCTGGAGCTAGATCTCCTGACGTGACACAAGTCACCCTGGCACCCCCAAACGCCAGCCGGGAAAAGATTAACCATGGCGCTTAACCCTCCAAGCACCAAAGTGCAAGTAACAACGGCGAGACTACTACCAACGGTGGTAATCGTAGCAATAGTAACGACCGTAATCCTCATAATCATATATAACCATATAGTATCGTTCAGAGTACCACAGATGCCAGACAACTATCCTGCCCCCGGCTGCAAACCTAAACCCAGGTACCTTCTGATTGGATGCTGCGGTCTCTCTTAACTTACTGCAGTAAAAGGGAATCTGCACCCTGTGGCTCACTGAAAGGACCTATGGGCTTAGCATGCAACCCGCCAGGCTCCACTAGCAATATAGGAGCCTCAATAATTACATAGAATAGGGTTTGGGTCTCCTTTATGGTATAATCATGATGTCATAATAAAGAACCCCCCAAAAAATGTATAGGTATTTGTTTAAGCCCTTATATTACTCCATCAGTAGGGCTTTATGTCCCTATCGCTGGCAGTTCGGTGCATGTCACGAAAAGCCGGAGACCCCAAAAGCCTAACTGTGTAATAGCACGACGCCCGAAACTGCAAAACTCTCTACGCCATACATAGGCCCCATACTAGTTCCTTTTTGGGATTACCCAATAGGATCCTGAATATAAGCCACACAAAGGAACTACTATAGAACCCTGTACGCTTCAAACAACTTCCAACACCACCAAGGCACCGAAGCAGGGCAAAAGCAAGCGAAGCTTCGCAGCTGCTTCCGTGAGGCCTTGGTCGGTAGGGGTAATCGCTTGGGTAAGCAGTAGCACTTTCGGATTTTAGATAATTTTGTAGGATGGGCAGGCTTTATGTGGGGGGGGTACCGCAGTGGTTTTAAAGCTTAGGGCTTGGTTGCATGGAATGTTCATAGCGGTTTGCTGCTTCGGTGCCTGGCTGACAAACAAGCCACGCAATTCCCCAAACGTAACCTAACTCCGATCTCCTCCAACTCCAAATCCGTGTGTCCCATACCTTATGGAAACTAACAACACTACACACGCCTCTATGACCAGAAGAATTCCTGACACAAGCATAAACCGCCCTTTAACCCCCTAGGTCCTAGGTTGTGGTTCTTACAATCCTTGTAGACACCCTGTAGAACCTCCAGTGAACCATCCTTTTTGGAAACCTAACACCCTATACTATATACCCTAACCCTTAAACCCTGAACCCTAAGAACACCCCGCGCTGTTGGGGGCCAAGGCACACTCGCTGGCACCCCGGGAGGCGTCCAACTGGGCCCGCTGGTGGCAGAGCGACTGGAGACGGAGCGCCTTCACCCTAAACCCTAAACCCTAAACCCCAAGAGACTCCGGGTTCGAGCTTTCGGGGGCTCGGACTTTTGGGGTTAAGGGCTGAGGGCGGGGGATTTTTAGGGTTTAGGGTTTAGGGTTTACGGCTTCGGATTTTTGGGGTTCAGGGGTCAGGGTGTAGGGCTTCGGGCTTCTACGGGTTTAGGGTTTAGGACTTCAGGTTTTTAGGGTTAAGGGTCAGGGTTTAGGGCTTCGGGCTTTCAGGGTTTAGGGTTTAGGACTTCGGATTGTAGGGTTAAGGGTCAGGGTTTAGGGCTTCGGGCTTTCAGGGTTTAGGGTCTAGGACTTCGGATTTTTGGGGTGAAGGGGTTAGGGTTTAGGGCTTCGGGCTTTTAGGGGTTTAGGGTTTAGGGCTTCGGAGTTGTGGGGTTTGGGGGTCAGGGTTTAGGGCTCGGATTTTTAGGGTTTAGGGCTTCGGAATTTAAGGGTTTAGGGTCAGGGATTAGGGTTTAGGGCTTCGGATTTTAAGGGTTTAGGGTTTATAGGGCTTCGGGATTTTAGGGTTAAGGGCTTAGGGCTCGGGATTTTTGGGGTTTAGGGTTCACGGAGAACCACCAAAGGATCATGTTGCCTAGACCGTTTTACTAGAGGTTTCACAGGTGACTTTGGAGCCTCTGACCGCTAAATCATAAAGTTTAGGGGTTTAGGGTTTAGGGTTTAGGGTTTAGGGTTTAGGGTTTAGCCCTAACTTGGAAAAAGAACCTGGAAAGGGTTCCTGCATCCCTGAAACTCTATGAACATCTATCAACCCTATAACCCTGCACACCCTATATCCCAAAACTCTAAACCTATGAGCTCTCAACTTTGACTAATCTCTAAGCCAAAAGCACTGAGCCGCTAGTCTTAAACCTCGTCATGCCCTCTAGGCCCAAAGTTCTAGAAAACCTCGCATCGGTAAGTGGGCCTCCTGAACCCTATACAAAAGAAGAAACCTAACTCAAAAGCCCTTCTGGACGAAAAGAACGAACCCCTCTACTCGGGCTCTCTAGGGCCCTGAGTTCAAGCCCTGGCCGCCTCGGCCCAGGCATCAGCCAGCACTGACCAGTCGTCGTCCGTAGCCTCCTGGCGATGTAAGCACCCTGAAAGCATTACCAAAGAATAGGGTCTGCAAGTTTAGAAGGCTCAACATATGTTCGAGAAAGCCTACAACAAAAATGCAAGATGCTTCCGAGAGCCAATTTGAAGATCAACATGATCAGACCTTCAATTCAGCCTGAAGTATGTTACTCCAAACTCCTGAACCGAAACCTGCTCAAACCGACAACCTTCAACCCGCACACCCGCTGATGAAACGCTGAGGCCTTGCACACCCAAACCCGTTTACACGCAGGACCCATGTTACCTGTAGTCTCCATTGTAGTTCCTTTTTTTGGTTTAACCAATTTTCTATTAAGGATTTTATGAAGTATCCCAAACAGCAACTACAATGGAGACTATAGGTAGTGTTGGAAGATGGGACCCCGCACTTCGTCCAAGCACCGCTGGGCAACGTCCGAAAGACCTGGCTGCTGAGCTGGATACTCTTATGAATAAAAACAAACGAATACTATATATATATATATACACATACGTGTGTATATATATATATATACATATACAATGCATATAATGTAACTATAAATGAAAGAAGTGAGAAATAAGCAAACAAATACATGTACATCGATATAGTGATTACGTATTGGCAAGCCTTACGTGGCGCGTTGGAAAGGAAGCGCCGAGCGAAGTGGAGGACAAGCATCGGTGCATTCTTCAGATCACAACGTGGATGCCGGGGAACTAAACAAACAAAAAGGATCCGCTTGTGTGATGCCAAAGCAAAGATTTTGTAGTGGCATGACTGCGTAGTGTAGTAGACTGGTCTGAGCTCCTTCGACAGGCCAAGTACAAAGGCTGTTCTGTAATTAAGCCTGAAACGTTAATAATTAGAATAGGGTTTTGGGCTGCTCGAAAGTATAAATATGATAAGGAACCCCCAAAAAACAATATGGGCAATTATTTAACTCGGTTATAACTCCACTTGCCTTACATACTAAACCTCTTAAACATGTTATCCACTTACCAACCCCAACGCCCGCCCAAACCTACATTAACACTACACCCTAAACCCTATAAACTCAAATTTTCATTAAGCCTGAAACCTGGAGTTTATTGGGATCTCTGGTCTTTGGCGCGCAGTGGCCTGCGCGAAGCACCACGGCTGCGAGCACTGTAGTTGCCAGGCCTCATGGGCTTACCCACAAACTCCGATGTGGTTCCTTGTTGGGGTCTGTTATCGTTTTTTGGTAAGGAATTGTAATATATTATCCAAAAAGGAACGGAGCCCTTGGGTAAGGATAGCGGGGGCCTAGTACGATCAGGGCCTATAGGTTTATGGATAATGGGGCGTATGACTGTAAGTTCCTTTATCAAGGCCTATAATGTAGGTTTGATAGGTTCCGACCTGTAGCAGCAAACGGGTTACCCAAACCAGGTACTTTCAGCTCACGGTCGTAAACTCTCAAGAAGAAGCCAGCGGGCAAATGAAGCTTTCACGTGCAGCCAAGCTTAGAACAGAACACTGCCGATTCTAAACCAAGCCCCCCAATCCAGAACCGTAAACTCAATTACTATACAATACGAATACTATACTATACTATACTACACTGTACTATTCGATGCGATACGATATCACACTATACTATAATCTATTCTACTGTATATTATACGATGCGATGCCACACTATACTAGACTCTACCATACTCTCCAGTAACGAATTTATCTATCCTTCCACCCTGAACCCTGAAAACCCTAAACC